GGAAGTAAACGAACCACCCCTAGTAAAGATTTTTTAAAATACAAATAATATAACATTTCTAAAAGATGACATTTTTCCTTTATATTTTAGAATACTTTTTCGTTACATTTGAACTATGGCAATATCATTGTAGAAATCTCACCTAGCAATGAATCGTGACTTTAATACACAATTTGTTTAGGGAAAAACTTCTTTAAGCTTCATAAATGAAAGCTTGACCAATCACCGCACGTTATCGAACGAACCTATGTGTCGCAATATATGGAAGATAGGACGCTTCCTTGAAATTTTCTTAGGTTCCTTTTAAAGTTTAACATTTTTTAAAGTAACCTTTGTGATTTTTAATTTCGAACACTCCTCGTCAAGTTAATGTTATCCATCGGATCAACTTCGCGCCACTTTAAAACTCGAATAGCCCATATCACTTTATTTAATTTGTTCAGATTTGTAGCCGAATTTATGATATAAGTCCGAATTGTATTTCAGGCACAAAGAACTTGTTTCATATGGCAATTCTGCGTTACAGCCATGGCACCATAGATCCCACATAGTAATTTTTTATAAGCATTCAACAGAAGCTTATATCGGTGTCTGCCAGGAATAGCCTAGGAGGAAACCAACGATCTGTAACAGAAGATAACATTGCTTGATTGAATTACGACCGTATGTTCGAAAGGCACTGGATCATACTGATCGATATATTCATCATGTATAGACATTTTGGTCGACTTCTTTCAAAACAGCCGCTCTGTAAGTCTATGGGAAATGCGGTTTCCTGAACAACACCTCGGACAAACAGACGCGTGTCTTATGGCCTGCTCCGGCCCCTAAAATCAACACATTTTTTTGTAGCATTTACAGAATGGTCAAATCTAACCATCGGTCCGGAAAAACACCACATGGGATCACCAGGGCTACATAATTAGACAATCAGATGGGTATGAAAAGAACCCTTCAATCGATGGATGTGTTCGAGAAAAACAAATTCCAATGCTACACAAAAAGTGAGATTTTTAAAATCATTAGCGCAGATAATTTAATGTTTAGCCATCCAACATGTTCTTAATACTAGAGGAAATCGAGGACCTCATTTTTTGCTGGCTCTTTTTTTGCCAGCTTCTGCTGACCGATTTCGTTTGTGAAGGTTCCTTATGACATGACATATCTGCTTATTTTTGTTATCATAAAAGGTGTGTGTTTCACTCTGATTTATTTAATTTACAGTGAAGTAATTTTAAGCCGCGTTAAACTTTCGAGTTCCAGTACTTTTGAGGAAACTGGGCATTCTGCTTGCGTTTAGCCCATCAGCATATTTCATGTATAGGCCCTACGTAATCTCAATATGCTTTATTGTATATTATTTCTAGGCTTTTGTCGGTATTCGAAATTAAAGTAAAGTAGGTAATTTTTGCATATTGTCGAATGCAGAAGTAAAAAATAAAGAAGGGTTATTCCTATGCATTATTAAAGCTGCTGGATGCTGTGTTTTTTTATAAGTTTTTAGATAATCATTCTGTTTTTCTAAGCCATATGAGATGATCTGCGTTACAGCCTGGCGTTTCACTTCGCTTAACCGTTGCATAAATAGGCATCGATTGCGATTTGAAATTTTCCCACATAGAATCAAAGCATAAATATACGATGCGCTGGCGTTAATAATTTTACTGCACAGGTAGGCGTCGTCATAAATCATTCATAGGCAAAAGGGCCTCTATTTTTCGTCCGGTATCGCCGTTGAGCATTCCATCAGACGGTTGACTGGCTCCCAGTACGAGACGAGGTCTGTCTCTGCCCAGCTTCAAACTTAAACGATAACGTATCCTAAGATTGACAGGCAAATACGTTACTATGCCACTAAGCTATGACGGCAGTATCGAAGAAGCCTATAGAAGCTATAGTAACTTTTTTTAAAATTGTTCCATCCTTTCGAATATAGATGCAAGGATACGCATAACGTGTTTACGGTGTGAATTTTTGTGTAGTGGTCGAATGTTACACGCTAAATAATGACACATATTATTGGATGCACCCTGCAAAGTTTTTCTGAGCTAATATTGTTGCTTTTTAACTTTATTTCCTAATAAATTATTCAAAAAGTTACCTATTTAGTAATACACCGATGAAGTTTACAGATCTCATATTCACAGGCCAAAGAACCGAACCAAACATAACATTAACTTACAGACAATACTACCTGGGTAATGTTGTGTGTCTTACTGAAAGATCACTAAATTATATATTATACATGTAAATAGAACAACTAAACGTTATAGACTATTTATAATGCATGACTATGAATACATCCTACTTAATACGAAATGCAACAACGGTTTTACAAAACTTATCCAGATGGATAGATAGAACTTAGTCAATTTTTCGAAAAATAGGCCTGCTTTAAGTCAAAAGGAAAACGAGCAATGTTTTTGCTCCATGGAATTCTAAAGTCAGGGATCAGTCCACATGCTTTTATTACCAGTAATAACATATGGTGGTTTTTCTCCGCGGAATCGACCAGCTACGAAGATATTCAGTCTGTTTAAATGCTATTATCCTAGTGAACTCAGAACTTAAAAGCTGCACTGCAAATGTCATTGTAGGAATATCTTAAAAAATCTACGATTTTTTGAAAGCTTCAGACATTGGGGCAGACGGGATGTGGCCGATAATGCGGTGAACAGCAGAGTTTGCCAACTTACGCACTTAAATGATAACTACTGCAACTCGTACTTCTCTTAACAGAGTTTTTTCATGAACCTGTTTCCATATTATTTCTTTAACATCCGATATTTTAGACTTTAAATTTGCTCCTTCTTTCAGCCACTGATCTATCGCTACTAACGTGGTAGGTATATAGTAGATTCATAAACTACAATTTCAGTGCTCCGTTCCTGTAATCTGTAAAATTGTAAATGCTGAATTTTGGTGTTAGTAATAATATATGGCCGGTTAGACTAAGCAGAAGAGTTTCGATAAGTGTAAAAATGGCTCTCAATGGTTAGCTGGCATGAGGATGAGACCGTGGTTAATAAACTCAAGTTCATCTGTCTCGCCGACTTCTTCTAGACGCTGTAGGCAAACTGTTCATGGTTGGCCAGACTATTGATTAGCCTCATCGAGGACTGTTTTGCTACCATTTAACAGGGCCTAAATTTGAAATAAAGTATCTAGTTTAAAAATAATAGCAATGGTGTATTCGAGATGTCGAGGTATCAAGATGCGCATTCCCGCTGTGATGCGATTCCCGCTCGATTACGCGTGGCGTGCGCGTTTCTATACTTAGCCCAATGTCAAGTGGCTCCTACTGCACGAACACAGATAAGCGACGCTATTTTACCAACGTAATTAACGCCGTTGAGTAAAAATGAGTAGAGTACCCAGTATTGAATGTAGACGATCCCTTTATAAACACAATTATGCCAGTGTTCAGCCGTTCCCAGCAAGAACAAACTGAACATAACGTAACTTCATTCGAGCGTCTCCTACCGATGTACCTAAAACGACTTCGGAGGTAAGAAATTAGTAATTATATAGGGGGTAACATCTGTAAGATATATACGGGTGAGACATGTGAGTGCTAACTTTCTTATGAGTTGTTTCTAAAACTCTATCTAAATAAAGTTATTTCAAAATGATTTTTTGCATGTGCTAGAATTCAATATAATTATAAGTTAGAACAACTAAAACTTTCATTGAACAGCTCAACCACTCACCAGCAATGTTTGAAATATTTCATCCTCATCCCGCAAATAACCTTTTAGTATTAATCTTACGGCAGTGGGTATTGGCAGGTGTAAATCCGGTAAAATATTCCTCAAATATGCTACATGCAAAAAATTTCAACTAAATACATTCTCGATTCATAATAGGCCAAAGATCCCACAAATACAAAGGCTCAAAATGGCTATTAAATACAAAACGTCTAAAAAGGCGCAGAAGCTTCCACAAGGACTGACCGTTGAAACTAATCTGGGCGACCAAATTGGAAAGCTAAAACTCCGCCCTTCACATTAATTTGTACACAAAAGAATCAGACGTTGACAAAAAAATTCTGGTTAGATGAATTAGTGAGTCCTTTAGATTCAAACGTTATTGAGGTTACCCCTTCCCCCCTTTTGAAATCTTTCTCAGACCATGTCGTAACCGCGTGAAAATTAACCATTAAAGTAAACTGTTGACTTCAGGCAAAAAACGATCATCATCATCATCATCATCATCTCGATAAGACGTTTGTTCTGAGTAAATACATTGGATAACAGTCAGTTCTGCCTCAGACTCCAAAACCGGGGCACCGTTTTTCGCCGCAGTGTGCTCTATACTAAAGAAAAACTGGCCTTTTTTAGACATCAAGAATAGCGAGTGAATGCATATTCCTTACGACAGATAGCCTGTGAAAATCTGCTAAAATTTAAATGCTCCACGCTGCATATGTATATATATACCTTGGGTGGACATGGCGTAAAAGTTGACATATCTGTAGTATTAGCTACACAGTTTCAAAGTTACAGTACAGACAATATGTAAAGTTGTTAATTGATAGGATTTCGTATTACTTTACTGTCAATAAGAATAAATAATTGGGCACTATTGCCAAATTCTATATGGGTATATATGTGTCGCGCGCAAATTTTATAAAGTAATTTACATAGCGGTGGTGAGCACAGCAACGACTTAATCTCCTCACATCACATCCGGTTGCATAGAACCATTCAGAACTCTTTTTAATTAGTGCTAAATTTAAAATACACACTGACTGCTCATGCATACAACTATTTCAATGGCATATACAGGCTAAACCAATTCGTCTCTTCGCTAGCGTTACAATAAATCCGTATTGAACCCTTCGGTCAGCAGTCCGTTCCAAAGAGTAAACTTACTTACTCGCCAAAATAGCTCTAGAAGATGAATCAACCCTCTTTTTTTTTGGATTTTATTAATAACATTTTTCTCTGCTTAGTAGTAAAAAACAAAAGCTTCTTGCATAGCGAAACAAATAGATTTGAACCGGCATTTCGTCGCCTAACTCGATCAGCCTACCGTGTAACGCTCTGTCCGTAAAGCCTTTAACGAAATAGTAATCCGGTCCGGGACATCTTCAGGATGCGTTCGCCAGTTTCGTGCTGCCGAGGAACCTTGAAAGGCAAAATCCTGGCGAAACATACTTGGCACTTTCCGTCGTTTTATTCACGTAGCTAAGGGCCTATGCAGTCGGCGCGGAACGAAACAAAAAAGCCATGATAAGATACTACTGTGATGCCGGAAAAGCTGTGAGGAGCTACCGTGAAGAGTTCGACGTTTTTAGTCCTGTTCGATTCCTTACAATCAAAAAGATTCATAGAGGATTTAAAAAGAACACGTACGAAGAGTGGATTTACGTATCATAGTGTACAGCAAAATCTCGGCTTTCCCTAATACTACCGAAGAACGATGCGCATAACATAAAGAGGCCAGACATTGCACTATTATATCCGTATTATACTTAAGAGGACAGAGCGATCTAGTTTTCAGTCCCCGACGAGTATCAACAAAAATAGCTGGCTCACCGAATATACCGCTAAAGTGCAGTGCAGAAGCCGGCTACGGTCTCCTTCTAACATGTACGATGCTTGATTGAAAGCTCAGAAGACATGCGCTAGTGCTTCAACCATTAAGATAAAAACAATCGCTCAGGGAACGCTTACGCTTCGAAGGGTTGTTAACTATTCAAATCGCAGAAATTTTCATTCACGCCTTTCAAGTTCGCGTGATATCGTCCGGGAAGAATAAAACAGTACCATTTGGCTGACAAAACCTGTGAGAGTATTTAGGATTTCGCCTTTTTTATAATTCAAATGGAATAACTTTATCTTCACAAATATCGGATATTACGCCCTTGACCTCCTGTCGGGAGAGCGATCATCACAAGCAGTTAGCTCAATGCGCAGAAGTATGAAGATCACTTTATCTTAGTGTTAACTGCACAGGCGATTATCATTTTTGTTTAGGGTTCATAGATACCAGGACCTGAGATATAAAATTCTTTTGATTAGATTCTCTACCAAGTCTTCCCGAATAAATAATGTTATTGGTATTAACTTTAGTATTGCTTACAGGCTACTCAGATGATATACGTGACGCTCGTTCTGTATACAGAACTGAAAACCTTACTAACCGAATCAAAATCCTATGTTAATAATCTTATAAAGAGGAAAAACATCAAGGTTAGGTTATTGCTAGTAGATTAAGATGCATTATATCCTTATGTACCGTGGAACGAAAGTTATGTTTTATGTAGGCACGCAACGCGGCCTTCGAAGTAGGCCCATTGAAACTCTTTTATCTTCGAATACGACACCGTACCTTACTGATTGTCTAGAGGGATGGTGAAACACACGCGACGTCGTCACTGGCAAAGCGAAAACACTTGTAACGCGTAACCACAATGCACTTAGGCCCGCCTTCTACGCTAGCATAGCTTTTAGCCGGAAAGGGCATTACATCTTCGCAATTAAGGTCATTGTGCTAGAAATCATTTACGACCACCTGGAGAGGGAGGGGGTGAGCGTCACAGACTGTTCTACCATAATAGTTGTACCGATTTACGGGCGAGGCGGCGTACTTGTGCTGGAAACTCAACTTCGTTGAATGAATGGACGGTAATAGAGAGTGCAAAACTATGTAAACTCTTTGTTGGAATGATTAGCATTACTCACCTGTTGGCATGAGAAGACGATCTACGACGCACAAACGTTTCAGTCACCACCCCAGGAATCTACGAGGCGTTAGACTTGTAGAAGTAGCGTTTTTACACATCGGCTTTAAGAAAGACGTGAAAATATGCTGAGCAAAGTGACACTTTGGATTATACGTTTCTTTGTAAACGATAGATTACTTAATCTATGCACAACTGGAGTAAACATACATACAAGCACGTATTTTTAAGATTCTTAGGAGCTGCAATCGAAGGTTCATACTTACCTGCTATATTCTTCTAGCAATATGGATGTCGTATTCGTGACGTCTGGTTCTGGGCCATTGGTCATAACGCTATTCCTGTGTTTGACAGGTGCTGAAATTTCAGAAAGAAGACGTGGCTTTTGCAACTATTTCTAACTTCTGTGTGGAATAAATCATGACTAGTTAGTCAACCCATCTATCCATATACTTGAGGACTGAACTCTTATTTTTGTATCCTTTTAAAACTTATAAGAATCTAGAAGAAGTTGAACTGGACCACAAACCGGTCTCATCGATTACGTAACTTCGTAGCATCGCTTTCGATAATTTTAGAAATAAGCTTGATGCGGTCCGTTAGAGCTTCCGGTAAAGCTCCACGAGATATTGAGCTTAATACATCAACGAGCCTAGCTTGGTAACGGGGTATAGCTTGGTCGTCTCTATGGCGGTTTGAAGACTTTCCTCAGTAACGTATTGCGCCAGTTCTCGTTCTTGGCCCTTATTGCCTAATTACAATATGTATGTAATAGAACGTCAACGAGAAACCATACATTCTGTCATGCTGGAGCAGAAAGAAATAATCCTCGCAATATCGAAATAGCTTTCTTCAGCAGATGTAAGAAGCAAGGTCGACTACGGTATCACGAGCGTCAGTTAACACACGAACACTCGGCGTCATGCAAATTTGAACTAAAACAGAGGTAGAATAAAAAAAAAAACCTGGCGATTAGATTAAGCTCTGCGTCAGGATTACTCGCTAAAAAAGAAACCCACAGTATTGGGCTTAATATCATCAACAGGATGACAATTACTCTGATCATCTGAAGTTGGAAACGTTAGATAGATTTGGGCTCTTAGATGTTCTATGTATCATTACGTCTACTAACGAAATAAATGTCGCTCCTGTTGTAAAATATTTGTACTGAGTTGTACCCCATAGATGTCGCTAATCTGAGCACCGACCAGTCATGGCGCGCCTCCATCCGTTTAAAAGCGAGATGACATTTGTTTTGGTTTCTATAGTTGACGCGCAGTATCGATGAAGCTAAATCGAGAATCGTACATGTTCCAATGCCTATTTGATACGTATGATTATCGTTAAGAAGCCAGTTAAAGCTAACACCATTTACCTATATAGGAGCATGATTTTTTATATATATAGATATATTTGAACCTTGAGGTACAGTGACAGACGATCAGTAGGTACCAGTTAAACGCAGGAGTCGAATTGAGTTTTTTTTTGAATCGAAATAGAGTCCATATCAGGCTTATGTTCAAACATAAGCCTGATATGGACGCTACCGAATATGCTTGGGAAACATATACGTTTACTCATTTCAATATCTATTTGAATTTAATTGGACACCTAATACCGATCCCAGGCCAGTACTGTTAAGTTCTCAATAACTGTTTTCAAATGCCTTACAAGTTACTTTCAACGAACTATAGCAAAAAAAAAACCTAGTTTCTCCTCATATACCTATTTAACCTAACCTTATAACTCTCTGAACCCCTTTGAGGTTTGTTGAATTATATAGCTGCGCATTCCAAAAACAGGTCAGGCATCTTCATGCTGAGGAGGTGCAAGGAACAATGGCTCGTGGAACTGGCAAATAAAGAGTCCTGCATACTGTCTTAGAGAGCGACACGCCAACCTTATACCCTTTAGTCCATATGCAAGAAAAGGATTACGTTAGCGGAGTTGGGTCGTCATGGCAACCCAAAAAGCTATCTCGTCCAGCCAGTCCTCTTTAGTATGGGCCAGCCTGCCTGCTCCTCTCTTTTTATAATTAGAATAACCACCCCACCAAAATACCCTGGGGTTCTCTGTCACATACACATGCCGAAACCGAAGCGTCCAGCTCCGAAGCGTGATACGGTTTTATTAAGTTGCCCCAATCGACCCGATCTTTTTTTTCGTTCTTCTTTTTCAACGATAGAGTATCTGTCCGAAGAGTGCATTTCAACTGAATACTAGATGAACAACAAAGTACATTGCCCCCAAAAAGTAACAGACTGTTAACTAGTCAAAGGGAGCAACCCGTGCACGACGAGGTTCAAATATTTCTACTGCTTAAGTCACTCAATCGCATTTGAGAGATGAATTAGTTTAATCTATAATAATTCGATTCTTTTACGTCTATACGGGGTCCTTTCTATATATAGTACAAAACTGTTTTGCGTATTCTCCTAACTTCGCCACCGCATACAGCCTTTACATACAAGTGCCTCTTAAGTTGGAACTATTGGAAAAAAGGCACGCGTTCGTATAGCTAGTTGAATAAAGAACTAGAAATGAATACGGATTACTCGCTTAGGAAATTACTTAGGAAAAGCGAGAGAGCTTGGCTCCGAAGTGCAGCCTCACTTGTATAAATAAATTAATCAGAGAATCAAACATTATTATTCAGTAGTCTATGTAAATAATTTAAGGGCAGTTCACTCAAGTAATGTTATTTGCTACTTTTTCTATTTGTTTGTAGTCTGGCTTGAAATATTTCGGTTGAGTTAGTCTGATCGTTAAAATATAACCCGCATTATGATTCTTACAGGATCTGTTTAACCTAACGAATCCAACGTGGGTACGTGCTCTTAGTAACTACGCTACCTGAAGAAATCACCTCATAGTGAAACGTATTAAGATCATATCCCAATAACACACAAATAAATGCACGAGCGTCCAGTATCTAAGCCATATGTTGCGTAACATCACAAACTATGGTATCCTATGATTTCAAGCGCCACATTGATAATGGCTGCTTTCGCTTAGGTTCATCCTTTGCCTAAGCTGAGATCTCCCTTTTTTGATGGCTGCGCGGTGGTGAATTATTCCTTCTATATAGCTGTGGGACCTGCGGCAAGAATATTAGCAATGGGTCAATGTTCTCTGAGAAAGATCCTTCGCTTTGCTTGCAATCTTACGGCCATATCCTTTTAGTCTACCCTAAAACCTTCCTGTTTTTCTAGTGTCGACCCTAAGTGTAAGGCAACCGGCCTGAGAGATTCACAGCAGTCGACCAAGAAACCCACGCCCACACCATATTTATAGAGATGAGTCGGGCAGGACGGGTAGTGGTGTTCTTATTTTACCATTACCTCTGTCCAGCCGCACATAGAGGTACATATGTACATAAAGCGCCAAGACGTCTTCCGGCTCCTAGGCGCCGATCGCATCAGCTAAGGGCGGCTGACCAGCTAACGCTGGCCACCCCAGTGCTCCTAATAATAACCATATTTACACCATAAAGGGGAACGGAAAACTACGTTCAGTGGTTTGACTCCTCCCACTAGCTGAAACTGGTAGGTTCACACCGGATGCACGGCCTTCTTATCGGCCTTCAAAAAGCCCTGGTCGTCACTATGGCTCACAGGCCCTAGAAGCATCGCCAATTGTACGGAGCTCCGCACTGTTGGCTCGTTTCTAAAATCATCTACATTTTTCTTTGCCATATCTAAAAGAATACAAAATCATCTGCTGAGATATGCCGCACACCTGGCCCATATGCTCCACAACGCTCACTCCTATTCTGCTCCCTGTTTTCAGCTACGCAATTTATGTACGAGAAGTTCTACGCTGGTGCAAAATATAGGAAACTCAGCAATCGTGGAAGGAGACAGGAAGTGGGAACATACTGGGAAGCGAAAGGCGGGAGGTATCCATCGGGTTTTTTTCAATTGATGGGCACAACCGATACATAATCGTAATGGGTGTTCCTATCGTGATCGCAATAGTAGCAGAAAGAGCTTCTGTCGTGAATGGTCCATTTTCTGCCATGTGTAAATGCTATTTTAGTGTAGCACAGCGGATACACAAATGTGTCCTGCTGTTTAGGATCTTTTTCAGGTTAAGAATTATAGCGATCAACAGCAGGTAACAACCCTCGACGTTATCTCTTTCTTCAACGGATTCACAAAGTGGCTGTTCCTAGTATTCGTATGGAAAGCGTAGTACCTAGTTAATTTGCCACCGAAGTAAAGGACATTGCCCTGATATGTACACAAGAACAAGCAAGCAAATTTAGTAATGGCTAACACGTAGCTCAGTGGTTCCATGAATATGCAATTTGCCCAGAATAGATGGCTCGTCGACATATTAAACCTACTGTTTCTTTAGGTTTAAACTCAAACACTTCGACGAACGTGTTGATCAGCGGAGTGCCGATATTTATTTCGTAGTAACAACTATATAAAACGACACAGAGGCAGCTTTTCTGCGATATTTTGATTTGCAGGGGCTCGAGTTGAAGCCCGTAGTACACTATCGCAGTATGTCTTCTATAAATGCTTGAACGAGAGATCTAGTTTCTCATAGGAGACGAAGTGTAAATGAAAAGGGCTGGATTGATCGAAGCTACATTATTTCGTATTTTACCAACTATATATTACAATACAGTAACCCTTGCTATTGAGTCACATACATGTTTCGTAATGAAGTGTTTTTCAGGGAAATTAGAATTGCTAAAGTTTCGATGTCATAAAAAGAATCCAACTAAAGACGATTTTGTTAGCTTTGTACATGTGCTCCCTTTATTTTCCTAGGCTTTTTGCATAGGTGTCAGCGACGTCTAGAAAGACGAAAACAGGAAGCAGTTACTTTGCATGACAAGCATGTTTGCTCGCAGGACATGTTAAGCGCGGCGAGCATTGACATCTTCACCCTTCATTTAGATAGCAATAATTCCTAACAGATTTTTTCTGGTGGGATAGACTCCGTTGCCGATATGGGCATGTGCGATGAAATCATCAATCCTTATTTGTGCTTGATTTCCGTGCACAAATTGATCCGATAAGCATTTCTGTGGGGTTCATTACGGTAGATGGAAGATTTACCGCTCTGTAATGGTCGTGTGGCGGAAAGCAATCTTACAGAGACGTCACGATGAGTTACTATTAAATGCAGGGACAAGATAGGATCTTGTCCAGAATTAATTTATACTGTTTTCAAAAAGGTTCAAACATGCCCAACGAATACGCGATCGCCAGTACTAATGCGTCATCATATATTTAGATTATTCCGTGATCTTGCGCAGTACAAACATATGCTGGGGAAAAATTTCTCCGGAAGACTGCTAAGATCTCTGCTCGGAAATTTTGACAAGTGGTTCATTTTAAGAGGTTCTTGGCACCGAAGAGCTTCCAGTGAACCTATTAGTCATTATCATTATTTCGTTCGTTATATAAGTTATTATGATAAATGTTATTTGAACAAGTATGTATCTAACCGAAAAGCATGATCCGGACCAGACGGATGGACAATATAAAGATTTTCCAATTTATGACTATCGTTATATAAACCTGTAAAGTTTTAATGCCTATGCTCTCACTATAACTTTAATCTGCAATCACGCAAACGGTATAAATATGAAGCAGCGATAATAAAACTGTCTGGAGTGAAGCTTTCACAAAAATGTGCTAAACTAATTTCTCTCACTACGCATAGGACGATAAAAGCTGGCCGCACACATTTTCGGCATATAGGATTCGGGAAATATCTAGCGTCTAAAATAGGACTTATTTATCTTCGTGCGATTGGTCTCGGCCAAAAAAACATGGATCTGATATGAACATTGAAAACTTTCATTTGAATGTGTTTAGGTGCATCGTCCTAAAATGTTAAACGTTGTCCATGGTGACCAATAATTACATATTTAGTAAAACCCTGCGTTTTCAAAATGCACAGGGTAGTTGTGAATTTTAAACAAGAAGATATAGTTACAATAACACCATATTTGCGCATCTAAATTACGGGTGCTTCCTGAGCTATAACAGCGTATCGTTTGCTTATAGTCAGCATGTTTCTTTATCTCGAGCTCGATCTCCAACACGTTTTGGTTCCCTCGAATCTATGCGTTTGGCTATATGGAGATTATGCGTTATACTTACACAAACTCTTCTCTCTGCACAAAATTTTAGCCTGGTGATTACCGTGACAGTACGTTTCCATCAGTCCAATTAGAGCATGTTGATGGCACACGCGATTTCGGATCGTCCCTCCGGCTCTCTATGGTCGACATAAACATTCAGAGCTATTGCACTAATACCAACAATTATCTTAGCTCTGATAGAGGCTCTTAAAGCAACAATAATTGTGGAACGCGCTGCAGAGTGTGTATAGGCCGCTGTATGATATCGGGCATCGAGGAGGAGGCATATCACTGCCTTACACAACTTGGCATAGGTCCAAAGCGCGTAACAGAGGCTCGCCATCGATCGTAAAAAGGATTTGCTGATCGCGGTCGTCGTCGTTGGCAATTTGTTGTTTTTCGTTGTGATTGCTCGCCTCGTTCATAACTATGTCCATCGGGAACTACTGATCAATGGACGGCGGGGGGTGACGTAACGGAGCAATGATGAAACAGAACGAAGCGGATAATTCACTGTTTCTATATAGACGAAATCCTATCAAATCGAATACTGATGCTCATGTTGGTGATGGTGATCACTGTTCGTTGTGTCTTATTGCATTCGTGTCATTCAATCATGTGTAGAAACACAAGGAAAAACGACACGTGGAGCTTGCCTATACAAATTATATAGCAGTTCTTTTTTCTATGAATAAAAGTTAGATAAAGAGTACAATAGGCAAAACGTCTGTCTGAGTGAGCTTATGTCATATATAGACATGTAAGCATGGAGCGCTGAAAGGGTTTTACGTGTGTATGCCCGACGCGACATTGTTATTATTGTTTATGTCAACGTCTGAAGGTAACGAACTCAAAGAATAGTTTTTCTATACAATTAGATTATCTGGTCAGCTCGATAAGTTAATTCAATGAGAAGCTCTGAAGGCGGAAAAGTCCTTGCCATGGTACGGAGCTGCAACGTGTACAGACGCCTTTTAGCTGTTCGAAGGCGTGCGGAAGGCGCCAAAAAAACCTCGACGAAATAGCGCATGCGGGCAAATTAGCAATGCTTCAAATTTCTGCAGTGGACAATCAATCGGCCGATTCGGTTCCACTTTATCTGTAGGTTCCCCGCACGTTCATCGTACACAGCGTACTACAAATGTACCCTCACTGTTCACCAAAGAAAAGGGTGACATAAAAATGAAATCACGTTCCTAGCGGGTTCGTCCGTTCCTTATGCATCTTATATACCAATGTGTATTTCTCGTATACCTCCTTGAATGAAGACATTGCTCAGTTGTAGTTAGCAAACTGTTTCAGGCCAATTATCATCTACCAGAATGACTTTCCTGCGATAATAATTTCCGTGAAACTAGAACTTTTTATTGATAATACTTAACATCAATTCGGTGAAATTTTTTGAATAAACACGATCGATGATGAAGTTACCACTGCAATACCAAATTAAAGCCTAGGTCCGCAAAAAACAGACCTTTTTACGTCTAAACGAATGTGATCTTCACTAATGCAAGAAGCAAGATAATGCTAGAGCTACTGCCGTGTCAAGGTCATGGACTCAACCGAAGTCTCTCATTCTCATTGGCTGTATGTGTACTTAGTGAGTCGTTAAGTTTGAAGCGGCTGAGAGCGTTTTCAAGTTTGTGACTATGGTACAAACATGTTTTTATTACGCTAGCCGCCGTCTCCTTCACTGATACTCCTAGTATGGACCACCGTCTCGTTCACCGGCGTAACGTTCTGATCTCAGTGGTGTATTATCGGCCAAATAACAAAAGTCGATAGAGACAAGAAAGGAGATTTTTTCATTACTCGACTCCTTTCCCTTTTTGTTTTGCCAGGAGATGCCCGGTAGAAACCTTTAGCGTCCAAAGCGACGACCGAAATCAGAGCTGCTAACGCAGGTTAGAAAAAACGCGTAGGTAGCTGACAAATGCACGCTGACCGCTTGATGTCACCGCTTCCGCTATTTCGAAGCAGAGGATTTTGAAGTGGCAGTCTGAATGTATTGCCATGTTGAATGTTTTTCTCTTTTTCCTGGTGGGCTCTAGCTGAATGGAGAAAGGAATGCTGGTTGGTAAACATATGCTGATGAATGAATGCACTCAACTGAAACTTTGTCTTGTTTTCTTCTGTTAGTTTTGTTGGTGCAACGAAAACTTTTTCCAAATTAGTACAGCGACGAAACGACAACTAATAAGACATCGAAATAGAATACACTTGCTCAATACAACTAAAATATTATGTTCATACAAACTGAACCTAGTGTATGAGACCTTGGCCTATTGGAAGGAAACAAAAACTAAGTAGCAGTGGCCTCGGGTCGCTTGAAATTCGGGCCTAACGTTACGAATAACTATCCGCGACAAGAGCAATGGCGTTTGCTATGAACAAAGTTCATATTAAACTGCCGTCACGTCACCGACAGTACTGTGCGTATTGTGCCGAGAGGTTTCAATCCTGTTAGGGAAACAGGCCTACCCTCATTACCGTGTAGAAGGTGAAACCTCTCGCATTTACATGTTCGGCCACTTTGTACGTACTATACTGTTACATACAAGGACCGATGCGCCTTACCTAATGCGTTTCAGTTAGCTTTGTCGTAAACATAGCAAGCTTAAGACGAGGAAAATCTTATCGTTACAATCAAAGATGAACATATCTGCGGAATACATTTCGATTTATTCGACTAGATCTGTTACTGTCACAGTTACCTTTTGACCATTGTTACATGTTTGCAGAATAAGCAATAAAGGAACTTAAAAAAAAACCCATACAACATAGATAAATTAAACAACTGTGTTTCTTTTTCTATAATTATTCTAATAATCATAATTGCTACTTTCAGAATCACTCACGATGAGAAAGATACGGCTTTTCTGCACATACACTATATACCTAACGGATTTATATGACCGGCTGCTCTTGATTCCATTATTCATTTCCATCCATATTTTAGATAGCGTCACACTCGAAGATAAATTATTTTAGCATATATCATACAGAGCAGTATAAATGCAGTGATAATTATCTCGAGTAGTAAAATAACTTTAGGCCTATGAAGACCTACGCTCAGTAGTTGCGCATTTATTGTTTTTGTCTCAAGAAGATATCTCGAGATAGGTACTCTCTGTCACTCTCGCCAATTAAACCTTTCGATGTTTTAGGTTTTACGTATCGCCATTCGCCAATCAAATTTAAGTCAAAATCAAATAAAGAAATTAAGGCTGTTCAATTTGAACTTGAACTTGAACTTAAGTTTGACCAGCTGTTTTGTCCCCTTGCCGAATTATTCGCGCTAATCTTGTTGTAATTTTCGTACTATTTTGTTTCGGATCATCAATCGCAATGCTCTAGCCATTTCATCACCTTTTTTTTTTTTTTTTAGCAACCATTTTTTGACTTTACATCACTTACCGAATTACTCTAACTCAGTCCTAAGTGTATTCGTTTAGACCTTTATCAAAGAAAAGATACTTCGTGTCTGTGTTCTACTAATTTCATCACCCTGCGACAGTTGTCCAATTTTCCTGCCCTATAATATTACTTTAATTAGCCCGCTACTGGTTATCTCTTTACCTTGTTGAAATTATCTCATTGCGGTTACTGTGCTAGCTTGAAGCGAAACTTTCTAAGCTATTGTGCCGTTTCAGAAACCAAGTAAGTTCGTTCTTCTTCGAGAACATCATAATTAATACTTGGAAAGTTCAACTTTCAACCCAAAACGAAACGACGCCTACGATATTGTATAGGTTATCAACCGTTGTCGAGACAACCGCTTTACTACACTACGAATCTAGTTTTCCAACCTGTTGCGTAAAATGAGCGTTTCTCGAACATGCTGCTCTCGAGTCAAATTGCTACATAAATAGCGACCGCATTTTCTAGAATAGATAATACAAACTCGTGCTATAATATACCGATCTTTCGTCTCACACCGATTGGAAGGTCCCAGCCTGAATTGAGCCTTCATCGTGACCGTGTGCTGGAACTGTTAAAAATAGTATTTAGCGTAAAACTTATTTACTGTAAATATAACTTCAATTCTTCTCTTTCTCATATCCGTGCCTCTTAATTTCTAGTTAATGGCTTATTGGAAAATTGTTGTACGAGCAAAAAAATTATCGCGGATAACTGCGTTTCGCTGAGAATTGTTTGCGTGTAAAAATCATTTCATAAAAAAAAAAAATGAAGAAGCATTCCAGTGACATCAACGATCAGCTGAGTAAATTTCACCATACAAATCACTTTAATCGTATTACGTAATAACCAATTTCTACAAATCTATTTGCATTATTTAGTACGAGTGTTCGCACCATGTCCTGCAAACCTGAAGATTGTGTGAACGTTTTTTCATCTTCAGCTGCGCCAATTAGGCTGTTCCTATCCTTCAAATATTCCAATTGGCTATTTTGATTTTAAAAATTACGACCAACACGTGGGCCATGTTCGACTAAAGTTCCGTTAGTTGGAGATTATGGTGATGCACGCTTGACCACTCGATTATATCTAAAATCTTGATTTCTACTTTTATTTTCAATGGCAAGCAATGTTTCACGCTTGAGGGATTTCCGTTAGATGTATAGGGAGGTAACGATAGTACACATACCTACATTCCAGCTTCTGGTAAACTCACTTCTCCAATCTGCCTAGCTATATACAGGCATAAAAAATAATAATCGTTCCGCATGCCACGTGTTGTACAGAAAAAGTACGCTCTACATCTTACAAGCCAGTTACTATAATTGATTTAGAATTGTTATTTTCTTTCATTAAAGCTCGCGAGAGAACGTTTTGTCATCAAACGGGTACGGTTAGCTGGCTTGCGATGGTCGAATTCGCTCTTATACGAATTCTCTCTTAAGTGTTGACTTAATGTCATCATTAGTGTTTTCAGCTTTATCCCTTTTTGTTTAATCTCTGACCCAAAATGTAACGCAAAAACCAAATTGGATCTAGCGTTCGTCGTACAAGTGCCAGGAAACGCACACAAATGTCCTTATTGAGTACCTTTGGCCTGTGCTTATAGTGCAAAACTGGTCGTTTCTTACAGTACATAGAGGCGCTGCTTGTGGGGCACCCTGAACTTGCTCACCCGTAGGGGAAGTATATTCCGTCACTGACTGTAGATTCCTTCTTAGTAGTAGTTCTTCATTGATAGTAGATTGGTGACTATTGGACGTTCTGATTTCCTAAATCCTGTTTAGGAACTCGATGGCAATCCGAATCTGGTCAATAGAAGAAGCGAAATTAACTTGCTTGTAGACCCGTGCCCCTCTCCATGTGCTCGTCGTACCTGAATTTAGGCGGCAGTATTACAGCCAGTGGTGACGGTCAAAGTATAACATCTGCATGAATATATCAACTTTGTGAGTAAGTCGGGCATAATCCTCTATTCCGAGTTAAAACCTAGGTGAAAGAATCGAGCAACAAGGATGACGGATTCCTAGAATTTCCTCCAATAACATAAGTGAGCAGCACCTCAGTCTTCGCTAGTAAAGGTTCATGAATCTGTCAGACCTTTGGGAAACGGCCAAACTGAATCAGCAGTAAACTTCCAACAAGGCAATAAAGAAGAAAATAATCTTCTTTATGACCTGTACTTTAATAAGGAAATCTGGTCCAGACTTTAAACCAATCAAATATGAAACCTATGTTGTTGATCTTAAATGTACACACAAAGCCTGTAAGTTCAATGCCACCCAGCGCATTATCAATCAGAACTCATATTCAGCGCCGATGTATTACATAACATCAAGAAGGTCCGCTAGCTAGGCCCCTTAACCAGTGAGTAGATGGCTTTTGTGAGAGAACTGTAATACCTAAATAGTCCATGAAAAAGATAGACTAGGTTTAGTCAGTAGAAGATGACAGCATTGCTTGTAAACTGAAAACACGTTCAACTTGTAGTGATGCAGATAGCCTAGCTATGACAAGCAACGCAACAGACGGTTTCCCAAAACAAGATTTTTCCCAGCTTAGCCATCGTTTCCTTCCTTTCCATTGAATGCTTTGCCTACACTTGGACATAACCTTCGTTTAAAAACCATTCTTTCTTCGTCTACGCAACCTTTCTACGCATCTGGAAAAGCCATCACCGGCACAAGTTCAATACAGCTATATAAATTCCCTAAATTTCGACCAAGAAGACCACTTTATCCCTGAGATTTCGCAGTGCACCGAACGTTCGTGATAGTCGACAAAGCGGTTGCTAAAAAAAAAAAAAAAGAAAATGTTAATGTGAAGCTGTTGGTATGGCATTAGAGCGTATGCGACTTGTGTCTACGGCAGCACCGCCGCAATATCTCGTTGTAGAGCCAAGGTCTCCCTTGCACCTGGGCGCATCGAACCTGGAGGCAGCTAGAACCTTGGTTATTTCCTGTTTTCGGCTGTTTTGAGAAAGGGCGCTTGTTCAGGGCTTCATTTTGCGAACGTGTAGAACGTTTGTAGAACGCCATTACCGAACTCGCTCTCACTGCACCGGGCTAAAGGAATGAATAAGTGGAATAGTTGGGATAAGAATCTGAAATTTACTTATTACATGACTAACGACTGGTCTAAGGCATTGTGTTCGGTCAAGTTAACGAAGATAGTACGCGTATTTGCTTAATTTAGGAACGGGGCTACGTAACGAAGAGGTTCACGTAGGGTCCTGCTACCTGTACCCTGTGCATGGTACAATTCGGCATATAATGCGTGTGGATTAGTCAATTTCTAGTTAACTAGCTAGTGACAGGTAACGTTTCGCTCCTGTTAGGTATAACGCAACTAAGGAACTAGAGAAATTAATTTTCAGGACCCAGCAGCGCGTGCAGGACAGGTGCGGAGCGAGTGGGCAAAGCCTTCGTGAAGTGAACCATATAAATGCACCTATACAGTAGGCGTCATCTATAGAAAACCGGCACGACAATAAAGCGAACACTGATGCCAGCCACAGATTTGCATGACAGTTGCATAAGTAAATAAATAGCCGTATTGAAACTATGGCAAGACTCGACAGGGTACTAATAATGACAGGACAAATGAGAACATAAAATGTCGGTTTTTTCGCGCTCACTCGTTTACCTGTATTGAAATTCAGCTAAACCGCATTGACTATCGCGCCTGATATCACGGCTAGGGCTTTCAGTTAGCATCTTTTTAATTTGTCCGTTATCCTATTAATGAAACTAGGGCTAAACGCGTCCCTACGTGTCGACAAGTTGAAATGATATTTTCAATAGTGAAAACTTCACGCCTCCGTGTTCTCCGAGTTCTGTTCTTCTATGGAGCATATGTGTGCAGACATTTCTACTCGTTTCGTGAAGACTACGTTGATCTTATTTGTGAATAGCTGCTGGATATCTTACCAGCGGATTCCGATTTCCTCGACTGCTGTCTTGCGGTAGCCGGTCTCAGTTCTGCATGTCCCCCCGAATGAATCGCGCGTATTGATAATATAGACTTCAAAAGCAATTCTTCTTCTCCTTTGGTACAAATCAGCGCCTGAACGAAATTTTTATGCCGAATTAAGTCATTCTTTCCAGCCTTTTCATAAGTTATAAATTTTAATGAATTAATAATGTAAAAGGTTTTTACGTGAAACAACGTATGCATGCGTCCTTTGCTAATAAGCGTCCGACCCCTCGGACAGCATCGGGTACCAATTCGATAAAAATGTTCACATTGTGGTAGAAGCAATGTTTATAAATAGATAATAATAACAGTAATTATCTCACTGAAAAAAGGTACGTCTTCATTCAGGTACTAAAAATGAATAGTACGCATGATGGCTGTGCCTTTATTAAAGACTAACCATTTTTACGAGAATTTTGTTGGTTTATGAATTATTAGTGTCGGAATTTCAAGACCACTGTGACGGACTCCTCCAATTTTATCTGAGGCGGGAACTTCAAAAAATTAATAATTAGAAGAAGGTGAATCATATTGCTTTCATAATATTTGCTAAATAACACGTCTATAACTAATTTCATGAAACAATATGATTAAAAATAGATATCTCCTTGGCGAGCGTAAGACGAATTAGGAGTGACTAAAGAACGAATTGTTTATGACTTAAATTATGTTCTGATCTGTATCTTTTATCCTTTAAATAATACTGTCAGGAGCTCTAAAAAACGACGTTCAGGTTTTGTTATGCTTCCTGCAGCCCTGCAGATCGGACTAGATCTTCCTGAAACATGGTATCGCCGTTGGACTACACCTCTGTTTCCTGACTGTTTCTGAATCGAGAAATCGCTAAGAGCCAATACTGTGCTTAACTACCAACTTGAGGGAAAGGGATTAAAGTGGAGAACATTTTTTGGGCAAGGGACAACTTTGGGCGAGGGTGCCCTGCCCATGCTGTTTTCAGTATTAAGGCGGGTGAGGGAACAGATAAGGGTGTCAATACCTGGCGTGTTTACATCGGTGAACCTAGCACCCGGCGCCGACTGTATAACAACACCCGGGGAACAAAAGCAGGGCTCCTGCACATAAATCCAGCTTTCTATCAAGCACTATGATGGCACAGTTGTCACTATATTGTTCTATCCGACAACCATCTATAAGTTCGGGTAAAGGAAGCACTGTAGAAATTTAGGAGAAGTGATCATACGGTGGATGTTTTGTAATAACGACTCTTTAATCTTGTTGTGAATTTTTCTTATCCGTAGGGTATAAGGCGGGATCATGGATCTTCTGTAAATTAGGGCGCGCCGATTGGTGATGACGGCTATATGTATCTGAGGGAACAAACGCTAGTGACCAGTGCTTGGAGGTGCGCACGCACGTATATGGACGTGCAGTTAGGCGTGTGCAGCAATATAAAACTCAATGAATTTGAGTGTGATAAACCTTGATTGAAACGGATGTGTTTACTGGTGTCTCTAAGGATATAGTACAATGGATAATCTGTAAAACTGAACGGTCAGATCCGTCTTATTTTTTTAGGAACAGCCGAGGGAATAATATCGTCGTGAATTTGCATTTGTGCTTCCAGTACCAGGTAAATGATTGGGTGGTCTGGCTTGACAATTGATCATCTTATAAATGCATATAATTTTTGCAAAACGTAATATTAAAATATTGAACTTACCGCACGGATCTTCCGACAGCATAGCTTTATATTTATTCGCACGTGCACTCGACGAAGCTACAAGCTCAGATCGTCATATATCCTTCTTGTTGCGCACTAGTGACTCAGTCATGTTGTTGCTCTATTCAAAGCTTTTCAACAACTACTGAGTACATACAAACATAGCCCTAAAGGCAATCATATGGAGCCATTTTATATATTACTTATATTATTTTGTCCTACCTGGAATGCAACTTATTAAAGCCTCCATGAGAGGCACGTAAATTGTTATTGCTCATCTGCTTGTTTTTTGTCGGGCCTGGTTTTGCTTGGACCACGATTCGTAGAAACACTAGACTTAAAAACATCGGTCTGTTGATAATTCTTTTGCCCACGTATTGCTTTATAGCCCAGAATCTTATCAAGAAAATAAACGAGTCAACGAAAAATTATTGTCATTATTTTTACGGTTTATCGTGGTCTAGATCAGTTTCCTTTCCTAGCAAACTTTGTAGCCTTAATAACTGATAATTACACTAGTGAGTCAAGTATAGCCTATACGAAGTTATATTACACTTCTCTGGATGCCACGAAACTGTTTTTCGTTAGTTCTGTGCTTCTGGCCAATTTCATCGTATTTGTTCCAGTCGCCTTGTTACAGGCTCTGCGTGAGAAACTCCTGTCCTGCAGTTATAGAACAGCTATTGCTAAACCGTTGTGTAGCTATGATGGCTGTATCTAGCTATAAAGAAATGTGAAATTTACAGTTACCGAAAGGAAGTTAGCTCCTTGGAATTGCCTTTTCTATTTCATGGCTTAACGACACGTTAATCGCCCTGTCTATAAAAACCCTCACCTTTAATACTCTTCATTAATAATAGTCTATATTTGACGGTACCATAAAAAATATATATATATATATATATATATATATATTGCTACAGTAAAAAGCTTATGAAAAGTATTCTTCCAGCAAAAGTTTTTAGGTGCCGGTCTTACGAGTCCTCCCCCCTTTCCCCCCAACTGTTGAAACTATCTTGTGTTGGACGAGCTTGCTGCGAGCAGAAAACCTCTACTACGAAAAACTAGTTTCAGTGTTTGAAGCTTAGAGGACTACTCTGAGGTTCGATATTAGGAACGCTAGCTGGCAGCGGTTCCAAGTTGAGTGTATTTGTATAATACTAAGCGCACGAGTGTATGTTTGAAAATCGGCAAAGTGTATGGACTGTTAATGCGTACAATGCGATACCTAGTGGCAAAAGCTTCATAGATCTTCATAACTTTGCTATCGTTATTCTATCTATGGCACGCGCGTGCTCGTAGCGTTCGCTAGCATGACAACGTTACCGTTTTCTAAGACGCCATTTCGCGCAGCAGTGGTGAACGCGTGAGATTTCTCTTGCTTGGCCATATTACTACCGACGATTGTTAACTAATATACTAAAACTTACCATATGAAGATGTAAAGCCCTCTGGGGAAATGACGGAAAAAATAATTTTTCTAAGCCATTTCGAACAAAAGCTTACGAACGATGAATTTATAAGACGGAGCAGCAAGCGGACAACTGGCAAGGCGGACCAGACGGTTCGACTTTTGTCGAATACGTTTGCAAAGACTGATTAACGAACGTAAGCAAGAGCTAACTAGAAGCGGAAGCATGTAATAAAAAAAAAAGAAAAAAAAAAACAGGTAACCCAGAGTTATTCTATTTTGTACAACAAATCACAATTCTAAGCAATATTTTGGCAACCGAACTGTGGAAAAGCTTTGCGAGTGTTCTCTACTCAGTTTCGGGGCTAGCACCTCACACCAGAACATTTAGTTGAATATTCTTTTTCCGGTAATCTTTTTTTTTTTTGTCATAAAAGTGAGAATGCCCTTTAGCGAAGCGCCAACCCGGTCCAATATCAGGCGGCATTAATTTATCGGATAGCTCACGGGATCGTTTGGTGCATGTTGAATAAAAGGAAGTGATTTCTGACGCTTTTATTTTTTTCGTAGATTTAGATCAACAAAGTCCACGTGATCGTTAATGGGTCCGTTTCTGCTTAGTGACCGCGCCATAAACGTACATCTAATCGGTAATAATGATCGTGATAATAGAAATAGCAATCTTGGTTGGGCCTCTGATGACGTTGAGCTCGTTAGGCTGAATCCTTTACGGAACTAACGGCCTTATAGGCAGTGAATCCGACCTAAAATTCAAGTATCACACCACTTAAATAAGTTGATTAGTATTGCCAACCCTTAACATCAATCATATATCTAGTTTCTTAAATATACACAGATTTGTACTTTACGACATTTGTTTAGATTTAACTTAATCGATAGTTGTTTGTATAATCTGCTTACTCGACATTCGAATGATCTACTGCTTTTGCTAAATTATTTAACCTCACGATCAAAATTAGTGATGTGGACATCTGTAACTTGAAATGGTACGCTATTTTTCCTTATCTTGCTTATTTCGGAATTGCAAGCCGTATAGTAGATTGTTGATTTGTACTTATTGAGTATTGAAAATTATATTATTGCCAAATATTTTATGCAAGTTGTCGAGACGAGGTCACACTAACTTGATCCAAAGGAAATAAACTTGTTTGATGAAACTTTCTTCCTTATTCAGCTAAAATGAGTGAATGACGACTCAATGATTCGATCTAGCATTTTGGAAGACTTTGACTGCTACGCGAAGAAAAAGAAAAATTAGACGAGGCCTAAATCTAGAAAATGGTAGGCCCTTAGAGCTCACTGTGACTTAGTGGTTATTTTATCATGCATAATGCATAACTGAAATATGGGAGTTCCTTGGTATCTTCTTCTCGACCAGCACAAGGGCAAGAAGTTCGCACGAGAAAAGCTTGGTTATACCATTGACGGGTAGATGAACAGCAAATATTTTTTCTTTGGTATATAATCATTTTTTCGAAGGAAATCACTCTAGCCTTGTAAGGGCATCGATCTATCACATACTAGCGCATATGTTTGTACACAGTATCCCGAAATCTATCTGGCTAATGTTGTAACTCGTTTGCACGTAATCTTTGCGAAACTTTTGTAGATTAGTCAATAGAAAGTACTTAACAGTTATGAAAGATCGCGTGTCACATAGTGCCATAATTCACACAATATCTGTTGAATACGGCTGGCCATGTGTCTTCTAACCATTTGGCCTCGGTAAGCAAAGTGATCTGTTCTCGGGATCGGCTCGAATGCTTCATAGATAAGAAAGAACAATGGAACGTGTTACTTCAATATGTGGGTCTTAAATGAAATGGGTTTAGATTTCGGAAGTGCAGCCGAAGGAACACTACCGCTTGTCCGATTGGAGGCAACGTCGGAAGGAGGGTTACTCAAAAGCCCATTTTTATGTGAACCAGTAATCTATGTCTACGAAGAGCATAGTTTATATTTATAAATAGAACGCACACATGCCCTAGAGATAGCTGCTTTACATTTACGCTACTCATATAATTTGCCTCGTTTCTTTGTTTTCCTCATTTACATTGGCGGATAACTACGAGATCGAACCTAATATTATCCAAACGCCTTCCGCTCATAGACGCAGCTCGAGAAGAGCGAGCTATTCCAGTTGTTGGCTGATCTTCAACGCAGCAAGAACCCATAACTTTGTCAGCACAGCAGAACAAACATGACAAACAATTAATTCACAGTTTTTTTTTTGTTGTTCCATAGCGTCACTGCATATCAACTGAACCCTTACGCCATAGAATTCCGCAAGCGTGTTCCAATTGTCGATACTAATGTAAATACGGTATTATCACAAATGGTCTGCTTTAGTGGCATCCCCTAACGAGAAAATTGATTAACTTCAGCATTTCACGACCTGCTCACTTTTTTAGCTTCGTCTCTGTTGTTGAAACACTTTGAATTGTCTGTGACCGCGAGATCAGCAAAGATAGATCGTAGCTATTGCTGAAGCTGCCCAGTAAAAATTGTATCGATCAAAGTTGTTGTTATTATTTAATATATTACAGTGTTGTTAATAACATTTCTATTGCAGTCGATTGACAGAAGACCATGACCAAGATTTGCCAGCAGAATTATGCAGCTCGTAGATTACGTTACAATATTATGTTAATTGTCATGATACGCTAAAACGTTTAGCTAGATCGGCTCGATAGGTGCGGTTTGTAGTGGGTTAAAATGTTTATATTGGTAATCGGACATTTTCCAACACAAATTTCTAGAAAACATTTCGCTTTGATACGTTATGTAAAACAGTCATACCTGTTAATAGTCGTACAATAACGTTATGCCTTAGCCATGCAGGACAGCATGGTATTATAGGTTAAGGCATCACCTTTCGCTATTTCTCGGTTCATCAGTAATGGGCTGCTTTAAGAGAGAACTGTAGCAACATGTCAGAATTGCCGAGTCTAATAATAATAATAATAATAATCAGATCCCTACTCAGATAACTATACTATGGAGGAAGATTCATTATGAAGATATTAATATTTGCTTTGGTAAACAGTTCGGTCAATTTACGTATAGTTTATTCAATTTTATCTTATATTTAGATTAAATTTGTTTAGTTAGAATTACATATGATAATAGAACATATAGGAGCTACGTAGATTTAACAGGACCGACAGTTATGAGAAGTGACGAGAGGGAACCCCGATAAAGCTGCCTGAACTGTTTAAATCGTTATAACGGCGATATGGATTCCGTATGTGCCTTGCTATTTTCAATTTAGTTACAGGGAAAAAGTGATTGCTGTCTAATTGCTCAGAAAATAGAACCTATCATTAAGAACCTATCATTGTCTTCATTTAGGATCGGCTCGTGTGATAACAATGGCGATTGATCGGGATCTGTGCAGTACAATGTGTTGATTCTCAAGGAGGGTGCCATCTAAGAAGGAGCAAGAAGAAACTAACCCCAGTGTTTTTTCTGGCGGTTCAACTTCTTCTAGCGCTATTGATCAACAATGACACCTCACGTTGCACCGAGTGCGTATTTTCTTCTGCTTCTAGGAGTTATTTACGGTCCGAGTCAACTTTGCAGTCAAGTTATTGCGACGAATCTGGGTAAGTTTAGAGAGCCTGTATTAACGATTGTTAAGCGACTTACTTGGGATTAATGGAGGGCATTGTTATTAGCTAGAAGTAACGCTAATTCATAACTGAATTAGCATTACGATACAACATACTACAAGCCTTCGAGATCCAGACTAACTCAGAACAAACGTTTAACAAACTAACGTGTTGCAACCCGTTAAACGACTAAAGAAGTCGTGAAGGCCCGTTGACGCGTTCATGCCCTTTCGGTAGGACTCCGTTGCGCCGAAATTCCGCTAAAACTTTGAACGAATTTATAGCCCTGCAAAAACAACGTTCTTAAAAGAAACTAAATTATTGGTAACTTTCGTGGTGCGTATATTGTGATTGCATTGTGGCAGTGCCCTGTGTGAATTCGCTAAAAAAAAGGTCGGCGGTCTAGGATTGTTTTTGTCCTTTGCTTTCACCCTGTAGTAAGCGGGCACCTGACTTTATTCAGCGAATCATGATTAATAGTATCGTAGCATTATCATCAATGGAGAAATTGTGTTCCGTTCTGTCCGCATAAGGAACGGCAAATTTTGCTGAGGTGTAGTGAACTGGTCATCATAATGATAGCTAGAGTATTTTTGTCACCTTTTAAGTCACGTACCCAGCAAAGCGAGCCGCTCATCTGATCGAAAAGGCATCAATTCATCACAGACACTCGTTGTTTTCTCCCTTTTTCAATCTGTTCAGAACTTTAAACAGGCTGACCATTGAAGAACATAATCCTCTTCTTGCTGAGTCTAAATAAGATTGAATCCCTAAGAAGTTATTTTTCCAATCTCTTTGCTCCTAGTACCTTCAGCCATAATAGATCTTTCATCGTTGTGTTCATTGTTTATTGTTTGTTAGGCGTATAGTAGGGAAAAATGCCGGAACTACTGATTTTCCGGGATGGAGGATTCATTTTTGATGACTGAAGTGATGGTGTTATTACATTCAATGCGTGGCAGACGGAATCTAAGGAAACGTTACTAGGTAATACGTGTACTTGGCACAGTACCACAAAACTGAATAAATAATAATAGAAGACTAATCGAATGACTCAAATTTGAACGAAAAACAAGAGAAGACATCGGTGCTAAGGCCCCGGCCACACTCCGGCTGATGCTGAGAAGAACGGAAGTGCTTTAGCATGTCAAGCAAACGCTAACAGCGTAGAAAATAACGTTGTTTCAGACAATTCCAGTATACTTGAATGTTACGTATACAAGCACTTAGTGGCACGTTTTTTGAAGTTAAAGTCAACTGTGATACCGATGCAGCATTTGCTTACTACAAGAACCACACTCCAACCACCATAACAGCTCACCCATTCCTTAATTAGACTGCATAAGTATATGTGACATAAAGACTCCACAGTCCATTGTTTGTCTTAATACGCTTTTCACACAACCATATAACTAAGCCCCACAGGCTGGTCCGTTTCATTGGTAGACATATATCGTTTCAATGGTGTGACTGCCTCGGAAAAGGCTACGATAAGCGAAGAGCTGTCCTTCAAATAGCAAGAGGCCAAAAGAATAGTAAACGATGTTAGTCGCGTTAGTTATCCGGGCGACAGGGAAAGTATATCAGGACTTCAATAGTGTGCAATGGTTAACCGTACTACAATCCTATACGATTACATAATAATTTTGCCAGGTCTGAAATTTGGCTTTCAGGGAACAGAACTTTTTTGAATAAAATTCGTTGCATCGGATACAAGGAAGAAATTTTTAAAAATGCAATGAAATCCAAATTATAATAGATCTGAATATGTTTCAATTAAAGCTTCTAATAATAATAAGTGTTACTCATGCAGTTGACAGTTACAAAATAACACGAAACATTTTACTGATCACTTCACGACGAGATTATAATTTTATGTATAGCTTACGAGCTGCTTGCCACTGCTTACGACAGAATCATCGTGCTATCGATCTTTTTACACTCTGATTTAAAGGTACTACGATAGTAGACCTTAATCATACATATTTCATAATCGTAGGCGAGTCAAATGCAGGACTTAATGAACAATGTAAGCATAAAAAAGGCAAAACTGACACCAATAAGCACCTACTTTTCGTACAGGTGACTCTTAAACTACGAAGTACAACATTAGTCTACCCTTAAAAGTTCGACCTGCTAGGTCAATACAGCCAGTACAAGGGAACGTAGCAAAACAACTAAAGCTTTTCTGCTATATACACACTATTTGCTTGGCCAAAGGTTCCTATATATTAATCGACAGCACTAAGAATATGGTCCGTCCGGTTTGCAAGCGTGATGCACGAGTCTTTGTAAATGCTCTGAGGTGGCCAATGTCGTGAACCAGTAAAGGGAATCGCCAGCTTTGAACATTTCAAGCCATATAAGGCGCCATTGAAGGCCCGATGTATAACTAGGTCTATAGTCAGAAGTTGGTAGGCTCGGCTCATTCGTCGCAGACGCTAACTTAGTCCGCCAACATATCGTTCTACTCTATTAGATTCTAGCAGATCGTTCGAGCTGACATTGACATTCAACTATCTAGAACGGAATATACCGTTCTAGCTGCTGACTATAGTCGACAATGCTGCTTGATTAAATTTCCTAACTTATGCCGTTTGGAACTTTGCCGTTTGTTTGTTTGTTTGTTTCGTAGCAGTCTTATGAGGTTTGAGTCTGCTGTTTTAATACTTCAGTGTCAGTAGAGTTCTCATTCTCTGAAAACACGTATAACGCCCATGTTCGAATAAAACCTTTTTATATCTAAATTACTGATTCATTAAATAGTACGCGTATTTCTTCGTAACCAACGATTCATAAATCCTTGTCTAATGGCCGATCAATCATGTCAAGTTAGTATAAGTTATACGATTGTGAATCGGTCTCGATTTCAATTATGAAAGCGTTATTATAATGCAGTAGATAGAAAAAAAGCAATAGGTTGATGTCGTGGGAATCTTGTCCACATTTTACAGGGCCATTTGGAACGCGGCAAGCTATTGCGGGCACACTGCTCTGTATCCCTGCCGTAATACAATTAAATCAATATGTACTTTATTGCATGTAGGGGAGTAGTACATATATTTTGGGCGAGGGTCAGTTTTAGCCATCTAATTTTTAGTCTCACACTGGTATGACACTGTATTTATTCCTTTTTCGTCTGCTTTCATCGTCCGTTTGAAGTGTGCTGGGTACAAACAGTGCCACGCAAAGCATCTTTGCTCTGTTTACGTTGGACTAGACTGCCGATGGTGCTGCTCTTGCTGTCGCCATTTCTACTTTTGCGCTTACGACTCGTACGAGTGTCACATATGATTAATAGTCGCTTGGTGTGGCTTGAGCAGGGTCTGGTAGTTGGAATTAATATAACCCACAGAGCGCAAGTTTTCATTGTATCGATGGCGTTACGCAACAGACCCAGTCAGCCGTACAGCTAGGGAATGTAGAAGCCCCTACAGTCGACGAAAACCTTTTAGTTTTTCTCGGTGCGTTCAAAAGGGAAATCTGCCAACAGCCCTAATTCTATAACAGTAACAAGACTCTGGGTTTTTAGTTGAAGTAAAAAAGGGAAGGATATTCGTTAATAAATGATTAAAACGTTTATAATAGAAGAACATGAAAAAGTTCCGCTTGTTGCAAGATGTGGTTATTGAGCGCTCGGTGGCAAAAGTCTTGAATAAAAAAAGTCGGTCAAAATTAGAGTTTGGGAACGTGGGGCGGTATTTTGTATTCACTATTACAATGTAGGTTGTCGAAAGAGTCAACTGTAGACCTCTTACCCATTCAGACTGGCCTTAAAAAATATTATATATGTAAATCTCTGATGCAATCGATGTAGCAGTGAATTTTGTTCACTGCTCCCAGACACATCTTCGTCGGGCCGAGTTGGTGCCGCTTGCTGCAAAATGATCTCGTACCATTCTGTGTGATATAAAGTTAATTTAAGAATAAACTACACTAGCCAGTGAAGCTTGACGTGAAGTCGACAGACTTGAAGATTCCTGAATTTTACAACCATTTTTTTCACTCTGTTCCATTTTAACGTTTATATGGCAATTTATTCACCTCTATAGCGTTACTCAGAGTTCCAGAGAAAGTGCTAAGTGTAATATCGTCATCTCGAATATTTACCATCTTTACATCTTTCTGTAGCCGTCGCCGCCATCATCATCATCATCATCACAGTCATTTTATAGGGGCTGCTCCTCGAAGGCAAAGCCGGTACCGTACCGAGAGATGCCTGGCTGCTATCTCTCGACATGCCAGCGCCCGTCGACATCGTTGAGTCCTACGGTCTCGGACCTGCTATAAGGACGGGACGTAGGAGAAATGGCACTTAATTCTTGTCCTTGCACCGTTCTAGACAGAATGCTTTGAGGAGAAAGTTTTCATTTTTATGTTTCCTTTTCGAGGAGCACAAAAGGCTGTCGAGATGTTAGACTCGGGATTGTATTTGTCATTATACAACGCCGTTTAACTCTTTTCATATTCGATCTGCTAGCGGTGCAGTGCGTGGTACAAGCGACAGGCTAACAGAGACGAGCGTGAGCTGAACTAGCGCAGGTCGTGCTTACCAGCGAACAGCGAAGGTCCTACAGAAGGACCCTCTTCTCTACCTCTCCTTTCACCGCTCCTTTTCCACTGAAACTCATTGCTTTTTGCTATCGCAGCCGCTAGCGATATTTGTATGTGCTTTTTATAGCGAGTCCCGGAAGAAACGCAGGACTGGGAAGAAAGTGCTACTGCGCATGCAGAGTCGTAGAAGCTTGAGTGCAAAGTACTGTTCAGGGTTGTCCTATTCCTTAAAACGACGCAGGACCTCTGCGTAACTAAACTCGCTATTCGAAACGCTATAGAGCAACGAAAAATGATGTGCTAAAGCATTCCACCGCTCTAATTTGTTCGTGGAAAGAACCATTGTGCAGGCTTTGCTCAGACTAGATTTCACATAGGTCGCACATGTAACGCGATTATGTGTGCTCCGATCTTAACTTTGTTACTATCATCAAATAAGC